ACTCGCTCGGGGAGACTCTAACCAGCTCCCCACCTCACCAGCCAGGCGATGTGAATGGTCTCCTGACTTGGCCTTCATCTCTCATCAAAAATAAAACTTTGAGGCTTGTCGCTCGTGCTGCACTGAGAAGTCGGGAGCGGTTACGTACCCTTGTCCTGTCGGCTGTTTGTTTGGCACCGCGGCTGTACACAGATACAAATCTGCTCTCGCAGTTGTTCAGGTAGAGAAGTGTCCAGCTGGCCTTATTTTAGGAGCAAGGAGCTGACACTTGGGCAAGCAGCAGCAGTGTTTGGGATGGGTAAGTGGATATAAACTAGCTCCACCCTGGCATGATTCCCAGCGCTGGTGGGAAGTCCTTTTGCAGTTATCGCTGGCGTGGTCGGGCCGTGCGGCTGAGCAAGAAGATGCAAACTCAGGAGGCTGGGATATGCTTGCTGGCGCGCTGCTTTTCTTCCTGCCTGCCTGCTTCGGCAGGGCTAGCAGCGCTTTAGAGAGCTGCGCTGCAGTAAAGCCTCTTCTGGGCACCTCCACCTCACCTGCCAGCTAAGCTGGCTGTACTTTGAGCTCGGATAAGCAACGGGCCACCTTTTGAAGTGCTGCTTGTTGGACTGCAGCCGGTTCCTGACTCGGAGGAGAAAGCACCAAGGGATGTGGAAAGCGTGCTGCTGCTGCGGGCCAGCATCGTGCAGCTGGGCTGTGGGAAGGGCAGGGAACACAGGTTCCGATCCCTCTTATCTCCAGTTTTGAGTCTGTTCTGTCCAGATGGTAGATGAGCGACCTCGTGTAGTGGAAGGTGTCCCTGCCTGTGGCAGGGGAGTTGGAACTAGATGGTCTAGGTAAGGTCCCTCCCAACCCCAAACCATTCTGGGGGGGCTGTACCAACATAGGGGTCCCTTTCTAAATCACAGTGCAGCCCTATAGGCATAGCGATAGGGGAGCAGTTGATGTGGAACCACCTCTCACAGGCACTTTCTTCCCAGTGGCTCCACAGGACAAGAGGTGCTTGGGGAGTCCTCATCATTCCGCAAATTATCCAAGTATTTGGGCTCTGCCTCTTGGAGGAGAACTTGCTGGCAGAGTGCGGTGATTCTGGCAGTGCCTTCTAGCCATTTCCTGGGATTTTTAGTCTGGAGTTGTTTGGGAGACGTTGACACCAACCTAAGTGTGAAATTCCTCCCTGTGTATCCAGTGTGTGGTGGTTTTCACCTGGAGAGCGTGTTCAGCCATCGCCCGGCCGCAGGGCTCCATCCTTGGAGTGACCGCGTTGACCCGGCCGTTCAGGCCCATTCGCGTTGGCACGTGAGCGTGGTGTAGAACTCCGTTCCATCCTGGAATATGTCCAGCTGCTGGAGCTGTGTGAATGTTCCTGCGTTTTCAGCACCAAGGAAGATTTGACAGCCTTTCAGTTAGCTGATTTTTAGTGTAAAAATACTCTTCGAAGATTTTTGTCAACCCAAGGAGTGATTACTCCAGGGCTGTTACTGAAATACCAGCGTTTTTGAAGGTCAGCATCTGCATATTGTTCTCAGCATCTTCCAGTGTTGGAACAGTTCCGTTGCATAACTCCTCTGTGGATGTACAGGTTTTCTGCTGTCACCCAAAGGCTTTTTGTCCATGCAGATGTCATGCAGTCCTGTTCTACCTTCAAAGGCAATCCTGGACCTCAGTGTCTCTGTATGGAAAGGGTGGACTAGAGCCACTCTGCTGCCCAAATTCCTCCTAAGCATTGGCTTTTCCAGGGTTCAGGGTGAATATTGTTTTTACATGTTAAATTAAGCATTTACAGCCAGTCCAGCGCACAGAATGGTGACGGCTCAGGCTGTGACCTCGGCTCCTTGCTCCAGGCCATGGTGAGAACCCAGAATCAAGAGCCTGTCCCTTGGTACTCTTCGTGGAGAGCTCACCTGGAATTCTGTGCAGTGTATTAATTGGGGTGTGCTGTATTCAAAACTCTGCCAGTAAACCTGCCCCAGTGTTTATGATGGCTTGGGAGGGTTGGGTTTTTTCACTCCTGGCTTCCTTTTTGAATTGAAATTTCATTTTTACATGGATGTTTATGCTTGCTTTGTCTTTTGTATTTGTAAAAAACACCAAACATACAGAGCAAGTCAGTATTACTGGAGCAATGTTACCACTTCATCACAGCAGGTGACTTTACATTTCAAAGAAAGCTGGAGGTAATAGTTTGAGCTTATTTCTGAGTCAGGAAGAAGAAAGATCTGAACAGAGCTGCTCTTGGCCTCAGCAGTTTGTCTGGAAGGAGAAGGAGGCTTTGAAGAGTTGCCAGAAGATGTGGCAACAACCTAGGAAACGAGGAGTGCAGGGAGAGGGTGTTTGTGTTCTTTCTTGAAGAACTACTGTTTCATTTGCCAATCTTGAGACCAAGGACAGTGTGAAAGAAGGGATTGTCCCTTTCCTGGGTGCATGCAAAGATAACAGAGAAGAATTACAGACCTCTAGCACAGGAGCAGCTTGAGCGGACAGCTTCATCTCATCCCCCTGGGTATCAATTCCACCTTTCATGCGGGTGTGTGAAGGAAGAGTTGACCAAAACCTTACAGGTGGGTTTGCAGCACAGCCTTGTGGAACCAGCCGTGGCAGGAGGTACTGGGAAATAGGTGAGATGATCAGAAAACCAAAATGAGAGAACGCAGAGGGATGCCTGTGTCTAGTTGGGTTGAAGAGAGCCGGTCTGTGTCCCAGATCCCAGAACAAAGAGTGTTTAACTCAGCAGGTCTACACATTACCATCCTATTCGTGTTACCTGGTGTCTTCCCCCAACCTCTCTTTCGTTCTGCTTTATCATAAACTTGTATTTCCCCCTCCCCAAGAGAGAGACAGGATTCAGAATCAGGATCGGTGTCTCTGCAGCTTGCCAGTGCCGGCATAATGGATCCATGACCTGATTTAAACCTGTGAGAGCTGCCATAACGTAAATATTTGATGGAACTGCAGCTTCCCTTTTTAAGTCTGCTTCAGGTTTTCAAGCGAAATCATGGCAAAGTATTCCTGAAAGACACTTGTTAGCGTGGAGTTGTTTATGCAGTTCTCGGCTCTTCTTTTAGAGATTGTTCTGCCTTTGGGCATCTTTTCAGCCTTGCGTTGTATTTATGCAAAATCCGAGCGGTACAAGTAAACATGAAATTATATTTGTGTCATAATACATGGAAAGAAAGGGAGTGAAATCCGTATGTCAGCTCTTAGCCCAGATGGGAACCATGCTGTCACGCAAATCGCGATCGCTCCTTGTTGGGGCAGAGACGGCGCATCAGCGCTACTGCAGCCTCTCGCCTGGCATGGCTGGATGAAGGTGGTGAAGGTAGGGAATTTGCTGAACGGTGAACAGTGACGTGTTCCCACACTTGGGCTGCTCTGGATTGAAAACTTTGGTGTGTTTTGAGTCCTGGAAGGAGCTTTTCAAATGGATTGGGTCGATATCCCAGGCATAAATTTCTCACCCATTTGTATAAACGCGGACCTTTGTCAGAAGAAGTGGTTGCTGTTTGCTACAGTAGGTTGCTGCTGCGTGCTGACAGGCACGGTTCCCACGTGGGTGGCGTTTGTAGGGCTTTAGAGGCTGCGGGATGGTGGTACAACAGAGGAAAGAAGGTTTTAAGTTCTGGGGAAAAAAAAAATCCACGTTAAGATGCGGAAGCAGCTTATCCTGGTACAGAAACAAGGGTTGCAGCAGCCCTCCTGGGCATATCCCAAATGATTCAGCCAAGCCAGCAGAAGTATATAGGAATACTTGATCCATTTGGCAGTGAAATAACTGGAAAAGGCAGTTTTCTATCCCTGCTCCGTGTCTGTTCTGCGCTGGGCATGTGTCCCACATCCGGGTGTTTGGGTTTCTCCTATTGAAAGGAAAGGGAAGAGTTGGGAAGGTGGATTCTGCACCCACTCGCAACCATCGAAAAGGCAGTTTTCTATCCCTGCTCCCTGTCCGTTCTGTGCTGGGCATGTTCCAATAGGAGGAACCCAAACCCGGGTGTTTGGGTTCCTCCTATTGGAAGGGAAGAGTTGGGAAGGTAGATTCTGCAGCCACTCAATGCCATCATCTGAAACACTTAACTTGGCTTTTGGGATGGATGTGCTTTGCTCCTACACAGCCTGTGGTGCCGAGTATGGTGTGTTACAACTCCTGTAATATCTTTGGCTTTTGAACTCTCTTTGTGGGAGAAGAGGGAAGTGTTTTTGAGGTGCCATCTGGCTTGAATTTGAGGTTAAAGTAGGCAGCTGGAACACACTGCTTACCCCTTGTGCAGTCTTTAAGGTATGAGGCATCTTCTACTATGCTGTTGTAAGTCTTGAAATTAGTTGGTTTTTTAAACAATTCAGTTTGCGACTGAGAACAAAGAAAGGCCTATCAAATCTGAAAGTCTGAAACGTGGGCAAAGCCAAGATGAGCTTTCTCATTCTAGACCGTACATCTGAGCTGTTTTCTGGGAGACCAGAGGTACCAGCTGGTGGATTAATTGCTATATCGATGCAAAGCTTGAAGTATTAGCTGTGTCTAGCAATCTCTGCCCCAGAATGACTTACAAATGTAGATTAATGTTTTGACTTCAAGTTCATAGAAAATCTTTATCAGGAGACATGAAAAAAAATAATCTTAAAGCAAGCGCTGAGCTCAAGTTTTGGGTTTAGGATTTATTCGAAGGACCCTTACAGCTTTTAGAAGTGCTTAATCACATGTGGCTGCTCCATTGTGCTGATGGGCCGTTCTTTTCGAGATAATCCTGAACCACAAAACCTCGGCGGTACGGTCGTGCTGCAGGCAGGGGGTTTTGCTGAGTTTCGAGGGGACAGCCGAGGACCCTGGGGTCAGAATGTTGCCTGTGTGTTGTAAAGGTTACACAGCTATATATAGCTGAGGCTGGGTTTTCTTTGAAACTAGTTGGATGAGTCCATGTTCAGTAAATTCCAGGCTTATTTTTTTTTTTTTAAAAAAAAGCAAGCTTTGGCTGTTTTCTGCTATTTACCACTTTGTCTCTTTGCAGGATTCATGAATAAAATCTTCCATCCCAACATTGACGAAGCGTAAGTAAATCCCTAGCGTGTGGTTTTTCTAAAGATTTTGTTTAATTGTTACTGGATTTTGGCTTCACAATAACACGCTGATGAGTTGAATGATGCTTTCGTCAGTCGAACGGTCCGGAGTGGGGAATGTGATAGAAGTAGACGCTGTCCCAAATTAACTTTCCGGAGTGGGTCAGGCTGTGGGTAAGACTAGAGAGCTGCGTGCTGCAGACTCTCTTGCAGATGTGGTCTTGGTATTGCAACATGCTTCATTTACAGGAAATTCAAGGTTGGCAGTCCCCCTCCTCGCTGGCATCATGCCGTCTTTCTAGAAACAGGGAAGGATGTCGGCTAAGCCACAGCTCCCTCTTTAGCTGAAGTTGGCATCCTTGCTAAGTTCTTCAAAAAATAAGGTGTTTTGCCACATTGTTTTTTTTTCAGTTAAGATTTGTTAAGGGGAAGCTCCCTGTGTGTCAGTCTCTACAGCAGACCCCCAGCCTATTCAGTAGTGGCTCCAATTTACCTTCTTTGGTGCAGAGTATGAAGATTCATGTAGTTAAAGGCTGCCCCTCTGTTAACCACAAGACAGGAGTAAATCATAGCTTATCTGAAACAGTGGGGCAAGAGGCAGGGCAGGGGAAGGGAAGGGATATAGATTATATTAAACCCCCAGAGTATTTTTTGAGTGTGACTGTGTTTAACCCCATCCTTTCCATATGTTTCAGGTCAGGAACTGTATGTCTAGATGTAATCAATCAAACTTGGACAGCTCTCTACGGTGAGTTTGGCATTACCCCGAAAGCTGATCACGTGAGCATCCTTACTTGGTGTGTTAACACAGCTTGCTGGATACAGATGATCTAAGGCCAGCTTATTTTTGTTGGGTTTTAACTGAAGTTTTGGACTCCTCACTGAGCCAAGATCATGTGAAAAATAAGGTTTTCACATGAAAATACTTTTGTAACCTATTTTTATCCCAGAGAGGTAGAAACATTCCATGCATCTCGCAAAGGATCGCTCAGTCCATTGCTTGGTGGTGTCTGGCAACTGCACAACAGCACCCAGCCAAGATTCAGCATTGAAACGGAGGAGCGACTGCATCTGACGTGAAACCTAGTTCCAGCTACCCCATCCACGTTTTGTCCGTGCGTTCGAGCTGGTGTTCTTTGTGCGTAAGGCTATGATCCCATTTCCACAGAAGATGGCACCAGAAACCGTTCCTGTTTGCCACGGCAGCGTCGTTTCATTGCAGGCTGGGAGGTGGTAGTGCATCTGACGGCTGCGCGGCTCGCTGCATAACGTTTTGGGTTTCCTGTTAGGTCATTGCTGGCTATAACTCTCCTTTTTAGAGAGAGAAAATGATCAGCTGGGAGCTAAAGACCCATTAAAATAGCATTTAGGGAAAGCTGAAATTCTTAAACAGGGTACAGGTGAGCATCTAGCCTAGGTTGGCCGCATTTAAAAATGTGAACCTCTTCAGATGTTCTAATTACGCTTTGTGGAAGAGTATTCAGAGGTATGACATCAAATCCTTCCCCTTCTTCCATGAAAAACTGGTTTTATGTATGCGAGTTGAAGCTTTGAAGCAGTTGCTAGAGAGACAAGCTACTTCACCTTCTTTGCAAGCACAATTTGTAAGGAAATACCAGACTTGGTGAATCCTGGGTGGAAAATTGCTATAGCAACTTGTTGAACTTTACTCCTCATCAGAATGCCTGAAGTCCTTGTGTAGTAGATGCATGGCGTACGCTTCACGTGGTTTTATTGTGAGAGATCAGCTTAGCTGTGACCCAGGTAGGTGGTTGCTAATGGAGGAAGAGGATGCTCGTGTTTTCCTGGGGGGTTCCGGTGCCAGGCAGAGGAGTTAAAGCGGTGTTAGCACACCAGGCCCTCTGCTAGGGACGAACCTGCATGTTCGGTCGGCAGCAGAATCCGGCACAGCGCAGCGTGTCCTGCCGTTCCAACCCTTAAATCCCACCTGCAGAGCGTGGGGATGGCTGGACAAAAGCAAATGGCTCCAGTGTAACTGGTGCTGGCGCTCGGGCAGCCTGGGTTCTGCTTTGGAAGCTGTGCATGGACAGCCTCCCTATCCTGCTCCATGCTCTCGCGCGCAGTCACAGTGGGGTTTCTGCACTATTTCTACACAACTTCTTAGGAAGGTTTTCTGTGAGAGGCTTCCAAGTGAGTGCTGCTGTATTTTTGTCATCGTTGCGTGCAAAGGTAGAAAAAACAACTTCAGTATTTACCATTACTGCGTTGTATTAATATCAGCGAGTGGCAAACACACTTCTCCATTTGCCCCTGTGGTGTCAGTGATAGGTGTAAGGCAGCTGGAAGGTATCAGCTCTGTACCCTGTTCAGAGCACCTTCCACAGTACCTGGTGAAACTTGGCATTCGGAAGCACACGCTCCATAGTTCCCTTTCTGCCAACTTCCCTTGCCTTGCTGCGGGATGCCTTGAAGCTGCAGGGAGGACACTGGGGTGACTGTGTTCGCCCTACCCCTTCGCTCAGAAGTCACCGACGCTCAGGTGCCTACATGACCCTTTCACTTCCAGGGCCTTGCCTGGGGCCAGGAGGTGGCTTATTTCTGAATGTGCAATGAAAAGGGGGAATTAATATCCCCCTGGGCCTCTCAACAGAGCTGCATTGTTTGGAGTGTCACCCCTTTAAAGCAGACTGCTCCTGTGCTGGCAGAAGGGGGTCAAATAATTAAAGAAGCAGCTAGGGTGGAAGAGACCCAGAACAGCTACCAGCACACTCCTGAGAGCCTTATGGTCGAATTCCCTCTCCTTCCCTTCTGGAGAGTCAAGTCCTTAGTGCTATCATTAGGCTTCCCACACACATCCAACTAGTTAAACCAATGCTGCTTTTGGGGATTTGAAAGAAGGGGAAAATTACTTAAGTCTCTTAAAAGGGAAAAGAGAAATCCCTGCAGTGTCCTGTGAGCCATGGTGCCCTTCCAGGGCTCTACTCCATGAGAGTTGAGTTGTCTAACAGCCACAAAGAAATACTTGATCTAAGCCTGCCCCGTGGAGTGACTTGACCCAACTTATTGCTGATCATGTCTGAACCCAGTCCCTAGGAGGGTTAATTGGTTTGCCAAGGCCAAGCCACTGCAGTGGCAAAAAGTACTCTTATAGAGCATTCTCCTTGGTTTTTCTGGTCCCTTTTTGGATTAGGATCCTTCTTCCGGTTGCTGTTGTGTTTATCCGAGAAGCAGCTGGTGGCACCTGGCTGCTTAGGGTGCCAGCCGTGGCAAACTCAGTCAAGGTACCAGGCATGCTCTAAAGGGCTTTGTCATTGTCCTCTGCCAGTTTGGGAGGGGCAACAGCTTCCGTAGTAAAAACATGGTTTTACACCGAAATCCCCTGATTTCATAGTGGTGTCTCAGTGTAGCAGAGACCTGACGATCATTATCCACACCAATCAATGTCCTTGCTTCTTGAAAGTGGTTTATGTGATATCACTAACCAACCCCACGCTCCTGAGTACGCAAAGCCGTGGCCTTTCCTCCTCCTCAGCAGGGTTTATGCTGAACGGGCGACTGAAGTAGACGTAACGCAGCGTCTACGTCCCGCGCGCATGGATGCAGGAGGGAAAAGCCTTGACAGAACCTCGAGTCTCCTTTGATCCTCTTGAGCAAGATCCAAAAGCCCATTCTGAAACGTGCCCGTTGGAGATTTGCCGCGTGGGTAACGTCGGGCGGTGGCGATGCTCTGCCTGGACGTACTGCGCAGCTCTTTTGAGGCTGGATCTTTGCTGGTGATGGAGTAAGAGCCTGGTTTTCCATGGCTTCAGCCCAGAGTAGCTGTGTGCACACTTGGGGATCTCTGCCCCCTACCTGACCACCCATTTTAATGAATCTTTTAGCAAGTTACGGGCACTGAGGTCCTTGCCCTCTGTCAGATCTGGTTGAATTTAGCAGCTCCCTGAGACCTGGCGCTGGCTGGGCTCAGGAATAGTCACGCAGCCTTGTTCCTGGAAGAGGCAGGTTGAGGTGGTTATCTGCTGACCTGCTGGATCTTGGGGAGTGTTGAGTTTCCCTTCTGACAGCGCCTCTTGGACCCATGCTCGAGGGGACTGGTGATGCTCTGCCAGCAGGAAAGACACGCTCCCTTTAATTGGGGAGGAAAAGGGGATCCTGGTAAAAGATGTGTAGACTATTCACAAACAAAACCCAACAGAAAACCCCACGTAATGAGTGCTGGTCTGTCTGCAGCAGCTTTCCGGTGGCTAAAGGGGCGCACAGGCCGGCACTGGGGGTTTAGTATCCACTCTGCGTGGGTGCCCGTGCTCCTGAAGCCCCCCAGGAGAAAACAATGGCACAGGGCTTGGTTCTGAACAACCCTCCGGCTGAAGCGTGGTACTTGTTGTCTTAGGGATGTGGGAAGAGGGTTTCATGTGTCCACAGTTACTCATCGCCATCAGAAGTTCGTTTCCTGTTGTGGGTTATTTAGTGATGGATGCCAACTGGCACCAAGGTGTTCACGTGAGCTCTTCACGTTCTGCAGATTGCGTTGAGTTGGGGGAGGGACTTGGTGGTTGCTCTTGCTATTAGCGCAGTCATCTGAAGCGCTCTGGAAGGTGCTCTGTGCTCAAGACACGTCTGTTTAGTCCTGGAGGAGAAGCCATTTCAAGGCAGGAATAGAAGAAGGAAAGAAAGAGGGTGGTAGAGGAAGCAGGAGAAGAATTCAGTGAGGGGTGAAGCACGGCGCTGTTTCATAGAATCATAGAATGGTTTGGGTTGGAAGGGACCTTAAAGATCATCTAGTTCCAACCCCCCTGCCATGGGCAGGGACACCTTCCACTAGACCAGGTTGCTCAAAGCCACATCCAACCTGGCCTTGAAGACATCCAGGGATGGGGCATCCACAACATCTCTGGGCAACCTAGTTTTTCTGTTTTCCTTCTTTTTAAGCCAGGGCTGAGCCTCAGTGGGAAACAAGACAATTGCATCCTTCCTCCTTTGCTTAACCCACAGACACCTCTACACTGTTGGGATGGCAGGGAGCTTGTGGCGTTAGCTGAGGAGCTGCAGCGGACCCCCAGCCGCAGCTCCTCTCTTACCAGCCGTGCACGTGCTTGCCCGGATGCAGCTTCCTTTATTTCAACCTGTGCCCAGGTTTTCAGTGCATCGCTGAAGCTTTGTGCTGCTGTTTCAGTGCCGGTGTTTGCAGGGTGGTTAATCAAACTGACGCTGGCTCTGTGGATGTGAACAACTGTGTCTTTCACTTGCAGATCTCACCAATATATTTGAATCGTTCCTGCCCCAGCTGCTGGCCTATCCTAACCCTATAGATCCTCTAAATGGTGACGCTGCAGCCATGTACCTCCACCGACCAGAAGAGTACAAACAGAAAATTAAAGGTAAGGACATAAATAACACATTGTGGAATGAGTGGTGTTACTGTGATGCCACCCTGGGGAGGATGAGGATTGTGTTTGCTGTGCGTTTGTGTGTCCGTGCCCGTTCCTTTCCGTTCCAGGGGCTCTGTCCATTCTAAACGGGGGTAACCCAAAGTAAGGGGTGGAGAAACTGCCACTGCAGTGCATGGTAGTATGTGGGGCAGGGGGTTTAAATCGATTAGCAGACCCTAAGCAGGGAAAGCTGTAAGAAAGCTGGGTTAGGATTCCACGTGATTTTTAGAGATTGGGGAAACGACTCAGAAGAAAAGGTGTATGACTGAAAAAGTGACAAAGAAAAGGGCTAAACTGAAACGGGAGCATCCGGTTCCACAATTGCTGGATAGAAAATGGCTTGTTAGCGGTTCTGTGGGAACTGATGTGAGAGCAGCAATCAAGGAATCGGTGATGCTGTCGCAGAAAGCACTTTTGTACTGTGACAGAGCAGGAATTTTCAGCAGATGCCAAGTAATCCTTCCTTGCTTCTCCTAGTTAAGCCAAGGCTTAGTAGTGCTGTGCCCAGTCCAGGGACTGGCATTTAAGAAAGCTGCAGACCAGTTAGTAATGTCTCGAAGGATGTCACGAGGGCAGATGGTCTTGAAGATGTGTCTGAGGAGAGAGGGAAAGGATTGGAGGAGTTTAATCTAGAGGACCGAACGGGGTTCATGTCAAAGGTGCCTTCAGAGAGGAAGGGAATGATTTATCCTGCGATCAGCGTGGGCAGGGTGGGATCACGCGTGTGCGACGCGGCTGGGGGAGCGCAGGCCAAACGTTAACTGTGACGGGTGAGGGCTGGCAGAGCCGGTGAGGGTGCTGGGGGGTCTTGGAAAGACCCATCCTTCCAGCTTTTGGAAAGGTTGGAAGGATGTGTTAGACCAGGCTGAGGAATAGTCAGCGCCTCCTTGGGATCAGCTCCCAGTAAGGAGGTTCACATACTTGGGATGATAGGAGGGCTGGCCTAGCCAGCTAGAGTGTGAGATGCAAATTGAATTTGTTCTGTAAAGATAAGAAATAAGATCAAAAATAAGAATTGCACTGTAGATTGGTGCTCTGCCTTCCCTAGAATCAGCTGCATGCAGGCAGGAGCAGGGCACCGTTTCCTGGTGGGACAGGCCGGTGGCAAAGCCATGGACTTTTTCTCCACTGTTCCAGTGAATGCAATCAGTATTTAATCCAGTGGTGGGAATTTTACAGCCTTTGGCCCAGATTTAGTCTTCAGTGGAGTTTTTAAGAGACCATGACCGCCTGATATTATTTTTCTTTCTTTTTTGGTTACTGAATAACCATAAGACTTGTTTGTCTGTGGGAGCCCTGCCAAAAGGTTTGCAGGGCCTGTTCAACAAGGAGAGCTTCCACGAGCAGCACGATCTAATCACCTTCCCGATGGGAGGTGGGGTAGGAACTTCCCTAACGGAGCATTGTGAAAGCTCGCTCTCGTTCGGAGAGCCCAGGTATCCCACCAAGACATGGGATTTGGTGGTGGAGCCCTTCCGTGGGCTCCGCTACGTCACTCCAGAGCGGTTAAGCCTCGAGTCACTTTGTTCTGGTGCAAAATGACTCTTCATCAGCTGCAATTTTTGTTTGAGGGTGGAACGACAAATGAGGCCAAGCAAAGCTGTGATTTAAATACCGAGTTATTCAGCCCACTTTGCTTGACTCCTCTGACAGCTGCATGACCGGATGGTAAGAACTTCCCTGCAGATCTGGCCTGCTCGGTATCCTGAAGTCCGCTGCCTTTTTTTCATATGAACAACCTTCCAGGCAAAATGGTTTGTCAGATAAAATCTCCAGGGCCAACACGAGGGACTCTTCGTGTGTCCTCTGTGCTTTAATGAAAACAGGAGTGGGGAAAAAAAAAAGATACACCCTGAAAAAAAAAAGCAAACAAACATCAGGTGCTTCAAGGAAGATCTGAGGACATCCCTCAGGGAGGCTAAATGGGATAGTCTGCTCCCTCGTTTCCGGCCTGACAGCCAGGTACAGGCCGTGAAGATGATCTGGAAGGAGTTTTAAGTGCTTGCAACATGTCTCATGTTCCATATACCCAAGAGTCCTGCCTCTGCTGTCTTTTTTCCCAGGCTTGCGTGACAAGTATAAGATAGAGCTAAACACTGTCATTCCTCTTACTGTAGCATTCTTAAAAATAGCCTTGGACATGTTAAAATTGATGCAGTGGATTGTAGCAGCTTCTCTGCTCTGGGAAACACAGTAGTGCAAATAAATAATTTATTGCTGCTTTTCTTCATTTTTTAGTTATGAAGGCATGGAACAGTTGTTTGACGCAGTGGTGGTGAAGGGATGGGCGTAGGCTGAGAGACGCAGCCCAAGCTTGGTAGTTCCTGTGATTCTTGGGATGAGGCCCAAACGAGTACGAATTTATCGTGAAACTCATATGTCTCCACGAATATTACCGGCATGCAGCTGGAAAGTGTGATGCTTAGCATCAGAGCCTCCGGTTAGGTCAAGCAGTTCATGGTGATGGAGCCAAATTCTCCTTTAGGATCTCCCTGGAAGTCCTGGGCGAGGTGGCTTGCCCGATCGTGGGCAGAGCACCGAAGGGTGGGCTTCAGATACCCAGAAATTGCTTGTGTTGAGCTGTTGGGAAGTGGTGCTTAACTCCCCTGCGTGCTGCTTTTCTTTCTCTTCGGTGCATTTAATGTGGAATCTTCCTTTGGGAGTGTGCCGGTGGTGAGTGCCAGCAGCGGAAGGGTACCGAGGGGCAGGCCGGGTTTGCTGGGAGCAGGGAACGTGGCTGGGAGCGGTTGTGCCATCTCCCGTGTTGGCTCCGAGTCCTTTGAAACACCAGTATGGCTCATGGCCATGTAGCAGCCACGGGGCACAACCACAGCTTGTTCCTGTTGCTCCAGGGTTTCAAAAGATGAATCAATGGGGTGTTTCCCTGGTAGGAATGGGCACATCGAGGCTTTCCCTTCTGGATGTGAACGGGCTTCTGTGGAAGGCGGTTTGTCGGTGCTGTTTAGATGCTGCCATTGTCTTCCCTTAATAGACTGGAGATCCAAGTTCAGTACAACATTCAGCACAGAAGCTCCCTGGGAGTTTGATCTTTCCTATATTTAAACCTTCAGAAAAACTCCGAGGTTTTTTCCTCCGACACCCGTGGTGCTGGGGACCTCAGCCTCAGCCCAAAGCTATTGGCTTTGGCCAATTCATACTCGTTTGGGCCTCATCCCAAGAATCACAGGAGCTACCAAGCTTGGGCTGCATCTCTTGGCCTACGCCCATCCCTTCACCACCGCTGCGTCAAACAGCTGTCCCGTGCCCTCATAACTAAAGCCCAGGAAGAGCTCTCACAGCTTTTCCAGGGCGGAGCAGGCCTACCAAGGCCATCAGCTGCTCCATCTTGGGAATTGCTCCATGAAGCGTTGGCTTTGGGTTGCTCTGCCTGTGCTCCTGAGCCCAGGAAAAAGCCTTGGAAGCTTTCCTGAGTAGAAGATGGCATTTTTAAGTTTGAAGTGCTTCAGGTTGTGTTTTAGCTTAGGCTCAAACAGGCCTTTTCCAACAGTAAGAAACAGTGGCTTCCATGTCCAAATCTCCAGTGGCCCAGGGAGCACCTGGAATAGTCAGGGAAGCAGCGCTGCTGGCCTTCTGTCCTGCCATGGCTTGTAGCTGCAGCGGTTGGGGTCTCCCGAGGCAGCTGCAGGAGTCGTTTAGGTGGGTTTGGGGCAAGCGTAGAGGGAATGTGTTTCTAAGGTTGTCTTTGTCATCCAAGGACACCCAAAACCTTCCAACCAAGGAACTTGGGTTCCCTTTGCTGGATTGTGCAAGGCATAACAACTTCTCTGGCTAAACACCCCTTTTCCAGAGGGAGACTAATTCTTGGAAGGCCAAGGGAAAGGAGTAGCTCCTACAAGGATAGGT